TTTTTTTTAAAATTGCACTTTGTGTTGTTTCAACTCATAGGCACATGATCTCCGGCCCCCTGGAATGCATCAGGAGTTTAGGTCAGAAGACTTAAAAGGATCAAAGGTCCCACCACACTATGCGTATTTATTAAGGCTGCGGTGGACCACCACAGCTTGTAAGAAAAGCCTGGATATATCACATTTATGTCTGAGGGGCAGTTAGACCCATTAAAAAGTATCATGTGCAAAGCTTTCTTCATTATTGTATGAGATAGTGCAAGATGATAAGTGAAAGGGTAACTCTTCACACAATAATGCTGAAAACACGCAATATGAGTTTATCATTTTAATACATGTTAGGAGCTCAAAAACATATAAGTGTTGACTTTAGAAATGGATGTATTTGTTTTTTATTAATATTTGCAGTAGGTTTATGCTACCTTGACCATTAAAAACTTCACAATTGATTTAGCTGATATCTCTAGTAACCTGATCTTTTCAGGTTACTAGTTCAGGACACTGTTACAAAATGCTTTTGACAAAATAATAAAATTCTAATATTACAAATTAGGATGGAACATTGAATTTAGGGTTTTTCAGTTTTAAGATTCAAACTGCTTTGTTTTATTGGTGATAGATGATAATCTTCACTCCAAAGCAACATTACTGAAATGAAAAACAGGAATCAAATACTAAAATAATAGCTGTTAAAATATTTTTTTTATTATTAAAAGTAACAAAAATAAATCATAAAATGTGTGATGTTGAAGTATAAATTTAATGATGCTTACTGAGTCTGGAATATAAAGTTCTTCACTTGAAGTCATGGTTCAAATCTTTTAAAGAAGGGTTATTGTATAAATAAAAAGGGCTATGAACAATAATGGCCCTTTTGCATTGTAAAGCCCAGTCTGGTCTGAGTTTTGAGTCTTTGCATTGGGCTGTCCAGCCCACTCCCAGCTCATTTTATTTTAAACCCAGAGACCCGGGGTACCATGTGGGCCAGCTTGTGCCAAAGATTTGACATCAGCAGACGTCACGCGCAATTTCAAAAGACTGTAAACAAGCTAGCATTAGCTAATAATATGTTGTCTTTTCCTCTCACCTTTGGCATGAAATTGCTGGCTTCATGCACGCTCATGTATCTTTCTACTGTTTTTTTTCTAGCACTACACAACCTTCGCTGGCTCTCATCACATTTTTAATGAAAGAAATAACGCTAAATAGGAATAGCAAAAGCTCCATATTTTCATTTTTGGGTGTCGCAAAAAACTGATATCACACGAGCCTAAAACGTTCAGCCCACATGAAAATCAAGAATGCTGTGTATGGCCTGGAGAGACCTGGGCTGGGTTGGTCCTTATAATGCAAAAGGTTCATTAATGTCTTACCTGCTGTAGATACATTTTTGAATAATTTCAGTTTGTAATAACAAAGTTTAGATCTGACAGGATCAACAAGCTAATGACTTGTTCAAAATAGGCATAGCAAAAGTTAATTGCTGTCTTTTTAAAACATCTCTAGATCCCAAAATCCAAAGACTCAAATGGACAGAAATCAGCAAGGAGCTCAGTGTCTCTTGCTTGGACGTGTGTTACCGGGGCCCCACCTTGGAGCTAAGCCTAGGGGAGGGGCTCATTGTTGAGCATCTATTGACCAGGTCTCCACTCTCCACCCATGGGACCTGACTAGGCAAAGCCCTAACAAGCAACATGGGTTTGCCTTCCTGTGTGCTCACCACCTGCAGGAGGGACCATACAAGTAAGATGCATGACACCATGGGCAGTGACCGAAAATGGAGGCTTTAGCGCTCTGACCCTGGCTTACCAACGCTGGCTCTTGGGTGATGGAACATAACCTCTCTGGCTGGGAAGGAGCCTGAGCTTGTGCATGGGGTTGAGAGGTACCAACTATATATGGTTGGGCTCACCTCAACAAACAACATGGGCTCAAGAAACAATCGCCTTGAAAGGGGCTGGATTATTATTATTTTTCACTCTGGAGTTGCCCATGGTCAGAGGTGCCAAGCTGGTGTGGGTCTACTCTTAATTTACTCTCATTTGTTGAAGTGGCTGCCTTGAGTTCTGGCCACAAGGTTGTCGGTGCTTCTCGCAGTGGCCATCCACAAACTCAGTGGAGGATACTCCAGGTCAGGGAGGCTGTTAAGCTGAAGAAGGAGTCCTATTGGGCCTTGTTGACCAGTGGGACTCTGGAGGCAGCTGAGGAGTACCAGAGGGCCAAGCAGTCCACACCCTTGGCTGCTGCTGAACAAAAGCTCAGATGTGGGAGGAGTTTGGTGAGGCTTTGGATAGAGACTCTCTGTCGGCTACCCTCACATATGGCCACGAGCTCTGGGTATTGACTGAAATAATGAGATTGAAGATACAGGCAGTTGAATTGAGTTTCCTCAACTGGACTCTCCCTTATGGACAGGGTGAGAAGTTCAGTTATCCGGGAGAGACTCATAGTAGAACCACTACTCCTCCACATTGAGAGGAGCCAGTTGAGGTGGTTCAGGCAACTGGTAAGGATACTCCCTGGGCGCCTCCCTAGGGAGGTTCTTCAGGCATGCCCAAATGGAAGGAGAACCCGGGTAAGACCCAGAACATGCTGAAGATGCTATGTCTCTTGGTTGCCCTGGGAATGCCTTGTGCTCCACCCAGAAGAGCTAGAAGAGGTGACTGTGGAAAGAGATGTCTGGGCCTCCCTGCTCAATCTGCTGCCCCCACGACCCGACTTAAAAAAAAGTGGAAGATAATGGATGGATAGATGGATGTTTAGTCCGTATATAAGCAATGCTACAGTTTGGTTTACATTGCAAGTAGTAAGTTGGACCCCTTTTGAGGTGGGAGTTGGATTCCAGCAGGGCAGCCCATTCTGTTCATAACTTTCATGGACAGAATTTCTTGGTACAGCCACAGCGTGGACAGAGTCCGGTTCTGTGGTTGCAGGATTTTATCTCTGCTATTTGCAGATGATGTGGTCCTGTTGGTGTCATCTTGCTGTGATCTTCAGCTTTCACTGTAGTGCTTTGCAACAGGGTGTGAAACAGAGGGGATTAGGATCAGCACCTCCAAATCTGAGGCCATGGTCCTCAGTTGGAAAAGGGTGGATTGTTCTCTTCGGGTCTAGTGTGAGGTTCTGCCTCTAGTGGAGGAGTTCAAGTATCTTGGGGTTTTTGTTCATGAGCGAAGGAAGAATGGAGCATGGGACTGACAGACAAATTGGTGCAGCGTCAGCAGTATTGTGGACTTTGTACTGGTCCGTTGTGGTAAAGAGGGAACTGAGCTGTAAGGCAAAGTTAAATGTTCACCGGTCAGTCTACGTTCCTATGCTCACCTATGGCCATGAACTCTAGGTAGTGACCAGAAGAACGAGATTGTGGATACAGATGGTTTACATGTTTTCTCTGTAGTGTAGATAGACTCTCCCTTAGATATAGGAAGAGAAGTTCAGTTATCCGGGAGAGATTCGAAGTAGAACCGCTGATGCTCCACATCAAGAGGAGGCAGTTGAAGTGGTTTGGGCATCTGGTAAGGATGATCCCTAGCTGTCTCCCTAGGGAGGTGCTTCGGGCATGTCCAATTGGAAAGAGACCCTGGGGAAGACCCAGTACAGGCAGGAGAGACTATGTCTCTCAATGGACCTGGGAGCACATTGGAATCCACCCAGAAGAGCTGAAAGAGGTGACAAAGGATAGAGATGTCTGGGCTTCCCTTCTCAAGCTGCTATCCCCGTGACCAGACTTCGGAACAAATGGAAAATGATGGATAGATCCAAAAATTTAATAGTGAGAAATGGGAATACTATTTTAAAAACAAATACTTTACCATCAATTTAAAATTATAGATGTATTTGCCCAAATGTTATGATTATTTGCAACCACTAATAGCAGCAGTATCATACAGTAGCAATTTCAGCAGCAATTGCATTAAATTTAATCTGAAGTATTTATGTAATAACCATGTAATGAAAACTGACTGTAGTCCAAAGATTTCTAAAAAAAAAAGTATTCATATAAATCAGTATAAAATATTTGTGACTGCCGTTGTTTTAGAACAGCAGAAACCTGCTTGGCCTTGTTCCTACTTGAACTAAATCGAAGTTCATCAGTCTGGACAAAATCATACTTTATTTCTCCAAACGCAGGTTGTTAAAAAAGCTTTCTACAACAGGGAACATTTTAACTTTTTTGCAGAAAGTCACTTCGAAATATTATAACTATGGCTGAATTATTGCATCATTAAGTGGAAAAGATGTAGCAAGTGTTTCTCTGGCTGACCCAGACAACAAAAATACATATTATTTGACTTTGGTGTATAAGCAAGATTAATTATATTAAATTTGTGCAAAAGCCAAAAGAAAATGTAGTGAAATTAATAATCTGGGTGTGTAGAAGTGTGAAAAGATGCATTTATAAAGACACTTACTCAGATCCTGAGGCAAATGGAAGAAAACTGGCCATCTGACTTGATATCATATAGCACAGGTCATGTGTTTCAGTGCCTGACTCACATGAAGCCCATACCACTGTTTGTTCTTGTTTGCATTTATTTTCATCATTTGCATTATATTTTTTCTGTGTTTTACATATTGAATTTATCTAACAACAGAACCTGAGCTGAAATGGTGAAAAAGTTAAGATCAGGCCACTGCTAATAACCAAAGGAAAAAAAGAAAAAAATAATACAAATTCCACACATGTCGCTCTGGATTAAAGTGATCGGTCCCTCATTTAGATGTGGCAGATCTGCTGTGGGAACTCCGGACTGAAAGCTGGGTTTTGTCATATTTCTATTTATCACAGATGAGAGCAGATGACTTAACCAGAAATAACAAAACATAAGCACTTGCTTTTCCGTTTGGCACAAAGTTGTTGGACAATAGCCCCTTCAGACAGTTTCTTGGTGTTCATCCAGATCTCGCTCTAAATCGCAGCCCTGTGGTCAGGTGATCATCACAAGACTAATGGCTTAATCCTCCGCAGCCCTACAAAAGCAAGAATAGACATTAGACACTTTCTGAATGTACATGTAACCAGCTGGAACACAACATGATTTGGCTTTAAATGTTGTTTCCACAGAGGTTATCTTTATCACTGAATCTAATTTGAAGATACACAGCGGGGAGCTGTGGCTGAATGAGATTCCACACTTCGTAGGGGGAACTAATTGACGGCATTGCAGCTAAATTTGATCTCCAAACTGATTTGTCACGACTGACTGGAGGAAAAAGAAACACGTGGAATATGATGATCGCACTGGGGCTTGGTCTTCTGTCTTTATTGTTTTGTTTTGAGCCTGCAGAGGGTCAGTTTCCTCGTGTTTGCTGCACAGTGGAGGGCATCCTGTCCAAGCAGTGCTGCCCTGCTCTGGGCTCAAATCCTGCCAATGTATGTGGATCTCTGTCAGGTAGAGGAAGCTGCACCACTGTACGGATCGACTCCAAACCTTGGGGAGGACCATACAGACTGAGAAATGTTGATGACAGAGAGAGGTGGCCAACCAAATTCTTCAATCAGACTTGCAGATGTACCGGTGAGTGCTTCACACTTTCATGTTAGAAAACAGGCCAGAGGTAGATTCAGCACTGAAAACATGCTGTCCTCTCTGTGTTGTAGGGAACTTTGCAGGCTATGACTGCGGACAGTGTAAATTTGGCTGGACCGGACCTAACTGTGACCAGAGAAAAGCTCCAGTGGTGCGGAAGAACATCCACTCCTTGACCCCCGAAGAGCTCCAGGAGTTCCTGAACACTCTAGATCTGGCTAAGACCACCATCCACCCAGATTATATGATCGCCAGACAACATTGGCTCGGACTGCTGGGACCAAATGGAACCGAGCCCCAGTTTTCCAATGTCTCCATCTACGATTTCTTTGTCTGGCAGCATTACTACTCAGTTAGAGACACACTTCTTGGTAAGTCTGCATCCCAGGAAATGTGTTGCGCTTTTATTTTATAATTAGAATAGGACAAAGTTTAAATAGCTGGAATGCATAAAATTACACAAATGGGTCATAGTTTGTAAAAAAGTGCACTGAATTCTGACAAAAAACAGATTTAGAAGTTTTAAAACAAGCCGTTTGCTGTGTTCACTTTGTTCCAAACAAATACTCAATCGAGTCAGAAAGCAGTAAATTAATTTGATGTCTGAAAGTTGAACCCTTCAAAACACAATTTCTGAAGAGAAACAGTAACTTAAATAGAAATATTTTACCTGTTAATAGAGAACATTTCCATTTAAATTTGTGACTGTAGCTTCAATTGTAGTAAGTTTTTAATGAAAACTCAAAAGTAATATAGATTTTTGAACAATGACATTTTTTGGTTAGTTTCTGTTGAGTTTATTATTACTTGTGAATCCCTCCCTTCCCCCAAAAAAGAACTAATTAAACTCAATTCTCTCACAGGTCCAGGTCGCCCATTCAAAGCTATAGATTTCTCCCACAAAGGACCAGCATTTATTACCTGGCACAGGTATCACCTTCTGAGCTTAGAAAGAGAGCTTCAGGTATGACTCAATTTTATTTTATTATAATTTATTTCGCTGGTGGAGGGAATTGGTGGTACTTTACTGAAATGGAGTTTTCAATTGGAACCAGCAACTTTTTGTTTTATGTTTATGTACCTTCCTTAGATAATTGGCTTTTCTATGTATATGAAATGAATGTTCCTGTAAATTGCCCTGAGACAACTTTGTTGTGATGTGGCGCTATACTGAATTGAAAAAAAAACAAACAAACAAAAAAAAAGAAATGCAGTATTTAGTGGTGAGAGATGATTTCTGTGCTTACAGATACAAAGCATTGATGACTTGGAAATATGTATACTGTAATCTCTGAAAAAGCTCCCGTTATTCTCACTTGAAGTTTTATTAATTTACCTGAAATAACATTGGAAAAGATTTACACTTTCATATTCAAAGCACATTTTTGTTCATACTAAAATATTCTGTACACATTTCCTATGATCTTATGTCTGAAACACAATTACAGCCGTCTATCTGACTGATGCACCAAATATTTAGTGTGAGGTGATTGTTTAAAATATTTTTTACAGTGGGCTTGGATTTGTAAATCTGCAGTGATTTTCCACACATAAAAGCTTTAAGGCTAGTTGAAGATAAGGAAAGACCACCCAAGGTGAACAATTTTCAAATTAGAAGCTAAGAAAAGCATAGATTTTAGATATTGCTAGGCAAAACGTCTGTGAAACACCTTCAGTATGTCGTTTTTTAAAGGTAATAAATGAAGAAACTTGAGTTTTGCAGCGCACTTTTAGAGTTTTATAAAAAGCAGTCTGTGTTGGGAGTCTTACATAAGTATCAAATCTATGTAGAATAAATCAAGGGAGACTGTAAAAACTAAAGTGACAGAATAAGGCATTAAACAAATGACTTATGGTTGTAAGACTATAAAGCAGTACTCATTGTCCTTATGGTATATGACGCTGATGGAGAAAAAAAAAGATCTGAAAAGATTGCTGAGTCTTTAAACATTTTCACTCTGTTGTAAGATAGCATTAATTAAATGCATTTGTCTTTACAGAGACTGACAGGTAACGAGAACTTTGCGGTCCCGTACTGGAACTTTGCTACGGGACAAAGTGATTGTGACGTTTGTACGGACTCTCTGCTGGGAGGCAGAAACCCAGACAACCCTTCCCTTATCAGTAACCAGTCCAGATTCTCCAGATGGGGGGTGATCTGCAACAGGTTAGCATTAAATACAGACATAGAGGACTGACACAGATCTTAAAAAAATGTTTGATTAAACTATTTGATTAAACTGTCAAATTGAGTCCAATCTTCTTTTTCTTTCGTCTTTTTCCACTTTAGGGGTCGCTACAGCAAGTCATCCTCCTCCATCTCACTCTGTCCTCACTCCAACTACCTCCATGTCCTCTCTAACTGCATCCATATATCTTCTCTTTGTCTTTTTACTGGCAGCTGCATTTCTAACATCCCTCTACCAGTATACCCAGTGTCCCTCCTCTGGACATATCCAAACCACCTCAGTCTGGCCTCTCTAACTTTATCTCCCAGTTGTTCAACCTGTGCTGTACCTCTGATGATCTCATTCCTAATCTTGTCCATCCTTGTCACTCCTAAGGAGAACCTCAACATCTTCATTTCTGCCACTTCCAGTTCTTTCTCCTGCCTTTTTGTCCATGTCTCTGTCTCCAGACCATACAACAGCTGGTCTCACCACTTTCTTGTAAACTTTTCCTTTTACCTTTACTGACACTCTGTTGTGGTAAATCACTCCTGAAACTTTTCTCCATCCACTCCATCCTGCCTGGACTCTCTTTTTCATCTATTTACCACACTCCCCATTTTCCTGGACATTGGATCTCAAGTACTTGAAGTCCTTCACCTTTGTGACCTCTGCTCCTTGTAGCCTCACTGTTCCACCAGCCTCCCTCTCATTCACACACGTACTCTGTCTTACTACGACTGACTTTCATTCCACTTTTTTCAAGTGCATACTTCCACCTCTCCAAGTTCTCTTCCACCTGTTCTAATTAGTACTTGTATTGACAGGAGAGTCTTTGTGTTTTGTTCCTTCAGTTTGGATGACTACAATCGCTTGGTGACTCTTTGCAATGGCACCACTGAGGGTCTCATTCAGAGGGGGATGATGGAGAGAGCCAACACGTCTCTGCCTACCATGAATGATGTCAGAAGCTGTTTAGGAATCAGAAACTTTGACAGCCCTCCCTTCTTCACCAACTCTTCCTTCAGCTTTAGGTACAACTCAGTGTTAATGAATCTATTTTACCCAAGCTAGCACAAAAAATGAACTACTGCAACCTATACTTCTCAGAAACGCTCTTGAAGGATATGATAAGCCAGATGGAGAGTTGGATGAAACGGTCAATAACTTGCACAACCTTGTCCACGCCATGCTCAATGGAACCAGTGCTTTGTCTCATTCCGCAGCCAACGATCCCATTTTTCTGGTCAGCTTTGAGTCACATTTTTCACCCCCAAATCACACAATACTCCCCCCCCCCCTCTATCTTTAAAACTATGGTGTAATCTTCCAGGTGCTCCACGCTTTCACCGACGCCATCTTTGATGAGTGGATGCGGAGGTTTGTTCCCTCCAACTCCACCTTCCCGGATGAGATGGCTCCCATCGGTCACAACAGGGACTACAACATGGTTCCCTTCTTCCCTCCAGTCACTAATGAGGAGATTTATGTCACGTCAGAGCAACTGGGATATTCCTACGCCATTTCCTTGGATGGTGAGCAAAACTTTAAAAGAGCATTTGGGGTAATTATTCGTATTAAGGCAATTTCTTAGTAAGTATTCAATGAAACAACGAGATAACTTACTTTAGAAACAAATGAATGAATATTAAAACTGCAGATAAGGACTTCTTTATCAGCTGACATCTGATCATCTTACTCTTAACGTAACAGATCACAATCGGTTTTTCTGCAGTGATATTTCTCCATCTATGTTTTCACTCCAGATGCAGATGGGGGAACGGCTGTGTTTGTTCTGGGCTCCACTTTAGGAGGCGTCTTCGTTGGTCTCCTGGTGCTTCTCCTTATCTTTGTGCTCTACCTGCGTCAGAAGAGAAAGAGAGGCTTTGAACCTCTGATAAAAGCAGATTTCACGAACAGAAAGTACACCGAGGAAGCCTAGCGTTCACCTGTTGTTCCAAAATGCACTTCAGTTGCACATAAACTTACCTCCAAGCGATAGTTTGCTTGAAAAAATTAAAAAAAAAAAGAAAATCCTGTAACTAATTACACGATAGAACAATTTAAATCATAAACTATTTACCAGAGATTTACATACACTTTATAACTGTTAATTTTAATACTTGTTTCTGTTTTGCCTTTTACAAACTTTGGATGGGCAGATATCTATTAAAAAGGTTTTATTAACAATTTATTGTCAAGAACAGTAACAAAACACAAATGCAGTCAGCTTAATTGCACTGATAAAACTGTAAGGCATATTTACTCAGCTAACACTCACCCCCTTTCAGTTTGAAATCACTTTTAATCTCCAAAATTTAAAATTGATGCTATTCAGTAATGCATTGCGTTTTTGTTTCTTTTTTTTTACATTTTATTGCAAAAATATTAAAAGTTTAATGATACAAAACATCAAAAGGTCATCCTGTGAGATCAATAGTTGTAATAAAGGAATCGCTTTGGGTGAAACCCGTGTTTTATCAGTATTTTCTGTTCTAGTTTGGATGTAAGGGCAGACAACAAAGACGAGCTCGATGAAGAATCAGTACGCTGAGAATGGCATAGTTCAGGCTAATTCTGTGGAGATGAAAGCTTAGCTGGCCTGCTGGTTATGAACCTGTCGGGCTCTCAGAGAACACTGAATGTACATACAGGCTGGGTTTTGTCCGCACCCCTCAGCAGTGCCAGGCCTCTCACATTCTCTGTGAGTACGCTCTACTGAGGAGCTTCACCGGAGCGTTCAGCCCTGTCCAGTCCCCACAGATTCTCATTTCACAGGTGACTGTGGTTGGCTTCAAGCCTGTCTGTGCTGCAGACATAACCATTCAAGCTTCCCAGATAAATTTAGACTCTTTCTTAGCATTTCCACTAACCAATATATGTGCTGCTTCCCGCTGCCTCTCTTAAATATCTCCCACACCTCCTAAAACTATGTAAATAAATGTATTTTTAATGTCAGTATTCCAACTTTTAAATTAATCAGTGTTCATTTAAATAGTTCTTTACCCCCCCAAACTATGCCAACAGTCACTGAGTGAGCACAGAAGTAGCAAACACATTTTTTATGTTTTCATATGCAGGTTCTGTACTATAGAATAAAATATTTTATAAAAATTGGTACAGTATTCTCAGAATGCAGCACAAAACATTGCAGGCCCCAATTACGTTAAAGGAATATAGTTCACAGCAGCACAATAATTGTATTGTATAGATATGCTCTTATAGTGCAATGTTCATGTTCATGTATCATAAGGTTCTGGTTAAACTCTTCAATACTTTTATTTTCTTTATAACGCAGGCTGAATGTGTCAGTGGAGTACTTTTTATTTGTTAATTTGAGTGGCTTTGCACCAGTGGCGCTAAATACTGATGCAAGTAGAGGAACCTTTTACATAAATACCTTTTAAATCGTGTTATGAAAACTGCTTAGCATTTAGCCCTCTCTGATACATTTTACAGTGGATGCTTTGCCATAACTAAAATTAGTGTGATCACCATGACTGCACCTTTTCTGCAAAATGTATGGAAAATTGCTTCTAAAAGTTGCAGTTCAGATATTTTGTTGTAGGGTTTTGTGAAAAGTAATGAAAAATAATTGTATTCCCTGTTGCAAATAGCTCTCTGAAGAAATAGAGTTTAACTGACTGGATTAGCAGCTAGTTCAAGAGGGGCAAAGATATAAATCGAAAGCTGCCATCTTAAAACATTGTTAATCTAAAAGATAATGTTATTCTAAGATATCTGTATTTTTTTGGAACAGCACCATGGCGATCATAAAAAGTTAAGTCAGGTCTTCTGGATGGATTCTTCTTGTTGAAACATTTCGTCTTTATCCAAAAATACTTTGAAGTCTTTTGGATAAAAGATGAAACGTTTCAACAAGAAACTGCTAATGACTATCCAAACATGGGTCACTTTCATATAAATTTCCAGGGTTATAAAACCTCAAAAATAGCATACATGTGTGACAAGGGGCTAAAATAGGTAATACTTTGTATTTTTTTTACTTGTTTGCATGACTCTACTTTTATTTTTTTTTACTGTTTTCTCAACCAAACATGTTCTGTGATTTATGTACTCGCTCAGAAGGTACTATTGTCAGAACATCACTTAAAAAATCACCATCTATCACTTTGGGATGGCAGCGATCCACTCCGTTTTGGCTTCATTTGAACTAGCGGTTAGATAGTCAAAATTAAACCGTATTCTCCAAACCAAGGTTGTTCAAATGATTATCTATAACAGGTAAGATATTCATCGTTTATAAGCTTTCCACAAACCCCAATTCAAAATATTTGAACTATCTTTTTAAATATTCTGTCCAGAACTACAGTACTGCAGGAGCTAAGCTACAAAAACTGGCATGATATGAAATACTGTTGCAGATACTGGATTTGTTGCAAGGCAAATAAGGATATAAAAGTCTTGTAGTGAGATTTAGCTCAAGGCCATTCAAACATGTTCTGTGAATATCTGAACAGCTGTGCAGATCTTTGATTAAAAAGAGAAAATGAAATAGTGCAGTTACTCGCATTCAAAACATGGCTGCAAATATTGTGAAACTTTGAAGAAGTACAGCTCAGTTGCTGCAGATGAGCTAAAACAATGGATACAAATGAAGTGTAACTTTCATCCAAAAAAACAAAAAAACAAATTTTCATTAATTCTGCGGCATTTACATTTACCCCTTTTTAAAAAATATATAATACTAAACATTTACGAATCTCCTCGTACTTCTTTAGTGTGCATCAACGACCACATCTTTAACACTTTTTTTCAGACAAAACATTTTCCATAAAAAAAAAATAAAAAAAAACTGAAACAAAGTGCGTATTACATTTTTTTTTTTCACATGGAGACTGCCACATGTGCAAGAAATGTGTAGATTTAAAAAAAAAATCTCAAGAGCAGAGTTTGTTGGATAAGCATCAGTAAAATGTTGAAACGATGCCATAAAATATCAACTCTGGGGATGGCGCTGCACGATCTTTGGAAAAGTAGGAGAATCATGATGGACGGCTGCTCAGTTCCTCAGAGCAGACAGAGCTGACAGCCTGTCTGCAGCTCCGGTCTGCTTGAATACAAAAAAAAAAAAATAATAATAATAATAGAAGAGGAAACTGCAGTTTGTGTTGAGCTTGTTGCTCCAGTATTATCTCAATTGCAGGTGCAGAGTTAGAGCTAAGAGCGCCAGCGTGGTTGGTAGGGCTAGAGAGGGTGCACAAAGCAGGGCGGAGTCATCCACAGGCCCGCTCCGGTCAGCTTTCACCACTGGGATCTCAGTGGCAGCACCGGACGTGCCTGTAGGACAGGCCTCTGTGCAGCCGCTTCCACTGCCCGAGCCACTTCCTTCATCGCCTGAAAAATCAGGACAAAATAGAAAATGAGTCCACGAGTCACATCAAATAATAAAACAAATGCAACAGTTTTATACTATGAAACAAAACTTGGATTAAAACAGGTTTAAAATAATGTTTCAGAATGATAACTTGCCAACAAATTATAAAAGTCATGATCATAACTTCACTCAGTCCTTTTGGAAAATTAAACATCTTTTTTATTCTTTTAATGTTACAGCTTACGACGGCTGAAGCTCATTTGATCTAATTCCAAAACATCTTTTAAATCTGCTTTAAATGACCAAATCTTAATAGAGAGCACATGACAGATTAACACAGGGATTAACTGAGCTTCTTTTTTTGTAAGCACCAGTCAGAACATAATATATTTATAACAAAACTATTGCACTGTGCAAATTGTTAGTTTTGCTAAAAATCCCACTCTCTATATAATTTATAGTTGAGTCTCAAGAAAATTCTCAAGAAACTGTGAGTCTTTTAAAATCTTACAAAGCTCATACGTAGTGAAGGCAAAGCATTTACTGGCTTGGATTAAATAAACAAGGCCACATTGTATCACCAGAAGGTGGCAGAATTTTCAGCAATACACAAAATATATCATTGAAATAAGAACAAACTTTAAAGAAATCTAAATAAATAAAAAATAATTAAAAAATAAATACAATCTTTATGCTGTTTAAAAATTGCACCTCTATTTGACATCCCTGTTTCTTCTCTAAAAGCAGAAACAGCTCTTTAGTCATATGAGAGGCCCATATATCCCCATATATTTCTATTATTATATATATATTTCTATTATATGTGTGTGTGTGTGTGTGTGTGTGTGTGTGTGTGTGTGTGTAAAACAAGCATTTCAATGTTTTTTTTCTTCTCTAAAGCTGGATAAAAAAACAAATAAAAAAGGAACAATTCTGGCTGCTGATCATTCTTCTTACAATCAAGAAGACAACATGGACTAATGAAGATCAAAAACATTACTAACATATGTTTGTTTGTTATCATCTGTTACTGAATTATGATGCCTTAAATGGCAATGTTTGAAAATCTACTCTTTATTGAACTAATAATTTTTTTTCTTTTTCTACAGCTGGATTAATATACACAACATTTAACCCTCCTGCTGCCCTCAGGTCAAAATGACTCGGGTATGTCCGAGGGCAGCAAGAGGTTTAAATTAATCAGATTATAGCACAATCACAGTGATGGTTCATGATCTGTAAAGTAAAATAAAAAAGTATCATTTTAATGCAGGAATGGTTAGAATGAACAAAAGCTTACTTGAGTCTTGAAAGTAGATGTCATTGCCATTGTAGGCGCTTTTCAACTTGTTGGTCATCACCCGCAGAGCCATGATCTGCTGACGGATGAAGGTGTCTGGACGTGTGATGTCGACCGCCACCTCAGGGTTGTTCACCTGGTTGGTAAGGCCGTCCTTCTGGACTTCAGGGAAGTACCTTAAAAACAACAGACACACTGTGAGATCTCAAAGAGTCACATCCAAGACAAGAAAGGACCTAAAGGCATATTAGGACTGAGAATGGAAATTGCTCCATTTTACAAACAGTAGAGCAATGTTTGACTTCATGCTGACATAGATGTGAGGGGTTACTGACGTGTTTCTGTGGGGAAGACTCGTCAGCCGCTTTCACTCATGTTCAGTGAATAAGCCACAAGCAGTCATGTGAGGCTTTTCTCACAAAACATTTGACACAGCAGCATTTGTTTTCTCATAAGCTGCTACGTAGCTCTGAGAGCTCCCTGAATTCAGAGTGGTGCATTTTCTGTTCTTTATTCTGGTCACAAAAAATAAAAAAAAAAGAAGATTCAAAATAAATATCTAAAACGCTCTTAGAGATTGTTTATTTAATATGCATAAAATATAATAATGGCAAACGTTTTATTTAATAGCTGACAATTATTTAGCACATTTGCCTTTACACATTTAATTACACAAATGAGCTCATTTCTAATTGAAAAAAAAAACGGGGGCTTTGAGATAGATACAAAAAAGAACAACTAGAGAAATTGAATTTCCAATAAAAATGCAGTGTGAATGCTTATTGCTGAAGAACTTGCTGAAAAACAGCTGAAATGAGCTAAAAAAACATTCTGAGATGTGGCAGAAATGAAATTACAAGTCAAAGTTAGCTGAAGAAAGTAGAAAGAACACTTATTTGCTGAATTTGGTATAAATAAGCAGAAATGAGCATTAAAAAAAAGCTAAAAAGTTGAAATTAGCAAAAACAAATAGATGAAAAGTAGCTGAAAGGCAGAAAGAAGCTTAAATTACCAGAATGAAGCGGAGAGAGCACAATTTTGTCCAATTAGAATGAAAGAAGCAGAAATGAGCACAAAAAGTGGAAATTATCAGAAAAAAATCTAAAATTAGCTAAAAACAACTGAAAAGTAGCTAAAAAAAAAGAAAAAAAAAAGAAGAAGCTTAAATTACCAGAAGGAAGTGGAGAGAACACATTTTTGCTGATTTAGGCTGAAAAAAGTTGAAATAAGTGCAAAAAATGTGGAATTAGCCAAAAAAAGAGCTAAAATTAGCATAAAACAGCTACATTGTAGCTAAAATAGCAGAAAAAGTTGAAACTTGGATCAATGAGCTGAAAGGAACATAACAAGCTGAAATTAGCTGAAAGAAGTTGGAAGAAGCAGAAAAATGTAGTTAGCAGAGATAATCTAAAAGGAACACAAAACAGTTGGAAAAAACAGCTGAAATTAGCTGAGAGTAGCTGAAAAAAGTTTAAATTTGCACAAGGAAGCTGAAAGAAGTTGAACCAGAACAGAATGTGAAAGGAGCAGTAAAAGGATGTAAACACATCTAAAGATTTGAAGGAGGTAAAATGAGCTCAGTTCGTTTTCTTTGAGAAAGAAATGGCAAAAAAATGCTAAATGTTTCAAAAAGCTAAAGTTGCACCAACACCAAAAGTCATAGCAGGATTGTCCTGAAAGAGCTGACTGAACATTCTGATTTATGATTTGTTGAAAAAGCACAGAAATTATGGAATGAGAAAGATGCTGAAATACGTACGGAAGAAAAGTGGATTGTAATCATGTGAACGCTTCAGAAACTTTCACACAATAAACAAACCAAGAGCACCAAAATGATACATTTTCAAGTATGTCTTGAGATTGGGTCCATTTAAAGAACTATAAAAACAAGTAAAGCATCATTTGTTCACAGCTATCACGTTAACACCAAGTTAAATGTTCTATAGAACAATGAAAGGACAGATTCTTGAAAATACTTTAGTTGAGGAAGAATGAAAACCATAAAACTTCCTGGTTTTAGTCGAACGAATCACAATGAAAATATGCCAAGTTCAGACACAATGGAGTTTAAGCCAGGGAAAGCAAACAAGCTGACTCTTAATGCTCGGATCAGACTGCTTAATGTCAGGCACGCTGAGCAGACTTTGGACTTGTAAGTAAAGCTTTTGTGTTAGCTTGAATAAAGCCCGGGGCTGCGGTGCCCTTACCTGCCCTTGGTGTGTCCGTTCCAGCACTCCTCCTCGCTGGCATTTGCAGCCGTCACTCTGTCCTCCACACACATCGCCTCGGGCAGGTCGGACCAAAACTTCTTGAACAGCTTAAGTTTTTCCTTTATGTCAACAACCTAAACAAAGATGGGAGGTTGCTGAGCATGAGAAGGAGCCAAGACCATTTACAGCACATATACCGTAATTTCCGCTGTATAAGTCACAGTTTTTGCATAAACTAGCGTGCCCTGTGACTTATGTTTTTCCCCATATTTATAATCTAATTTTTGGCTGAGATCTAACAATTACATTCATTCTGACATGGAAAACATTGAACACTATCCAACAATTTTCAGTCAGGTCATCTGGACAGTTTCTTTTTTTGCTGAAACGTTTCACCTTCCACTGAACACTATCATTTTCAGCCACTAAAGGGCCCTCGGCTAATATGGCAAGCCAATAATGCTTTATGTATTATCATCACTGTATGTTCCCATAAAATGGCGAAATTGGCTCTCTGCTTTTAACCCATCCACCAGGTGGAGCAGTGGGCAGCTATGGAAAGCAACCAGGGAGCAAATAGAGATAAGGTGTCCTGCTCAGAGACACCACAAGATGTGCAATGACTGGGGATTGAACTTAGGACCTACGGGTCCCGAGGCAGGTGCCCTGATCCTACGCCATCTCAGTCAAGTGTCTCATTAATAGGTAAAAGTGGCTATTAATGAGCCACTTGGCTTGCCATACCAAGTCACCTTCGTCTTGCTCCGGAACTCCTGAAGCAAACTTCAAATCAGCTGCATTTCGCCGCGCCGCCCAGGCGAAATGCAGCTGATTTGACCATCAAAGTGCATTTATTAAGGAAAAGTTCAGCTGAGACACACCTTTGCTGTAATTTTGAGCAAACAAATAATTGTTTTTAGGTGGTTATCCTGGTAAATTTCGAAGAAATGCACAGCAAGTCCTCCCTCTGCGCACTCCCGCAGCCGCGAATCGGCTTTTGAAATGTAGCTGATTTGACCATTAAAGAGCATCTATTAAGGAAAAGTTAAACTGAGACACACCTTTACTATAATTTTGAGCAAACAAATAATTGTTTTTAAGTGTTAATCTTGTTAAATTCTTGTTAAAGTCCTCCCGTGCCCGCTCCCGTGGTTGCCATTTGGCAGCCAATTGATTTTTGGCACAACAGCAGCCCACATTTCCAGGTGGTGACGTATAATAGATGTGACTTACACGGTGAAGCAACTTATTTATGTTTTTTTCCACTTTATTAGACATTTTTAGACTGATGTGACTTATATGGTAGTGCGGCATGTACAGCGACAAGTACAGTAGTACCGGTAGTCATATTTGGGTGAAATATTTAGTGTTGCTGCTCCTAACAACTTATAATTACGAATGCCTTGAAGTTTTCAGTAAATACTCATTTTGCTCAAATGATGTTCAAGGTTCAAAACAACACATTTCTGGACTGTAAGTAAACATAATGTTTATAGACATATACAAGTTAATTAAATAGAAAAGATGTGTGTCATTTACATGAAAAAAATAAGTTTCTTTATATTAAATTAAAAACATGTAAAACTTAGCATGAATTAAAAATACATTATAGAAAAATCATCAGTATGCACAAAGATGAGACAACTTTTTTTTTGTTCAACGTATAGAATAAATAACAAGGTGACAATTTTCTGTTTTTTTTTTTATTTCAAAAGTTAGTGAAGTTTTAAGAATGTCCTATCTATAATGTCCAAATTATTGTATTTGTGTTTTAGATGCACAAGAAAACTTGAAAATATGATTTGTGTGTGTGCAACATGACTGAAACAAGCACACAAATTAGTAAAACAAAAGTGATTTTGATTAATGTAACAATAATTATTCGATAATTACACGATCGAACGCAGTGAAACTGAAGGCTTTTATCCTGAAAAGTCAAAAACTGCCCTTTTAAAATTGCTCCTTTGTTCAGAGCTTTCAGGGCAATAAACGGGAACATCACTGCAACATATTCTTATTAAAACATCAAAGAGAAAGGAGTCGCTGAAATACTCATCTTTAACATGCAGAAGGATGAAATATCACAGGTGCTTTTAGCATTTTAGTTAGATTTTTATGCGCAAACGGGGCTGTAACCTGCTTTTTAGAATGCATCTCATTTGTAGACTTTACCCCACCAGCCAGTATTATATCACATCAGAATGATAATAAATTTCAACCTAGAGTTATGCAAACTCTTCGACTACTCCGGTTTAATTTCTCTTCTCCGTCCACTATCGAATGTTTGCATCATAAAATGTAAGAGCACGCAGGCTCGCAGCAATAATTTCAGACTGAATGTCAGACATAAAATACTCCTTTGCATCCTGGCCATGTGACAAAGTCAGATATCGTTTCCCAACTTAAGCCTGTTGAACTCAAATCTTTCATCAAACACACAGAATTTGACATATTTCACTGAAGCTGAAGGAAAGCGTGATAGCAGCAGGTTGGCCCCATTATCTTTCCCCGTCTGACTTGCTGTTGGCTTACGTGAAATTGTGGTGAACCTGAGCAGAACATGAAAGGTGCTGTACTGACGGTGTGACGCTGCTGTAGGCCCCGACACTGCTTTTGATGTGTTAATCCTGTCACACTGATGCCAAAGCACTTCAGCAGCTCTGATACTGCCCAGAGGGTCAAGGCTGCACTCAATACAAGAGTTTTGACTGGCAATGTTTGACTTAACCTCATGCATTAAGTTTAGCTTCACAAATAAGAGATTCACTGCTTTTTTTGCCCCCTCTCTCTTTCAGGATCTGGTGGGTGAAAAGTGTGAACTTAATTGGGAATGGCTCTGTTTTTTGCAATGCAAATGCTTGATCGCAACGTCAATGAAGTTTAGCAGCAGAAAATAGATGAACTGTTTACAGCTTGCAATTATTTCCGCACACGGTTGGAGATGACTTTCATGTGCAGGAATGACACAAAAAGACATTTTAAATTGTGCATTTATGAAGCAAAGTGAACGTCTCAGGGGTGTATTGTCAAAACAAAATGAGACAAAACGAAATCAGATGCTGCAAATGTCTGATAATGAGGACATAAAAGTTTGGAAAATTGAAGAGGAAGGCTGAGAATTTCCACCTAACTAGAAATATGCCTCAGGGGAAACCTTGCCTCTGTTGTCACAGAAGATTGAATAAATAATCCAGCAGCAACAATAATTCCAGGTGATGCAATATGCGTAAATGAACACTAGATGGCACTGTGTTGATGAGAAATAGAATGCTCAAAGCAACCAGGAAAAAAACAGGAAATAAAAGTATTAAAATGCATGTTGAATCAATTATGTTTGTAAATAATTTGTCTTTATTAACAGACTTTAACTTCACATAGGCTAATATAAAAAAGCTCCATAAGCAGATGAAAATTGGGATGAAAGTATGCAGATTTATCCAGTTTATAGAGCAGTGGGATCTCTAAGAAAAATGAGTTGAATCTTATTGCAATCAGCTAGCTATTACAGTCCTGCCAGCTCTGACATCCTCATTAAAAATCACAATGAAGATTACAGACACAACACCTCCACCTCTTCTCACACAGGATATTACAATCTATTTGTTTACATGGATATCCTAACACATCGCTGTTATCACGATTTGTGATAACTGTTTCAATTCCCAAAGAGACTGAAGGTAGCTCGGGTTTATATTAAAGGCTGACGAGGGAGCTGGTATAAGCATTTATTTAAAAAAAAAATTAAATTAACACGCTGCCTTCATGCGGCGTCGCAGGTAAATGAAGTGCTGTGCAAAGACGGAAATGTTTTCAAAAGGCACTGATTGCTCAGATTTTTGTGCCATTTCGTTCACAGTTTCAGATTATGACACGACACACTGGGCTTCTTGATGCCAGTTTAAAACAGACTGTAATTAGTCAAATAAACAGTTTTACATAAAGGCCTGACCATGATCTTAGTTATAGTCACAAAATCAGAATAAAAACAAAGTGCACTCTCTGTCAAATTTATTCTAGTCGCTCATTTAGCCACTTTTTTTATGGCAACAATAAAAGTTTTATTCCTATTTCCTTTCTGTCTCACACATAGCTGTAGAAAATTTCCCCCCACTTCTTTTGAATTTATTAATGTTTATCTTTTATGCTATAGATATACAGCTGTGCTTTAGACCACTGTCCTGCTGCATCACCTGACAGTCTAATATTGAACTATAGGATACTTTAGTACACAAAAGAGTTCATTGTCAACTCAGTGATGACAAGATGCTCTTGTCCTGTAGCTGTAGAATGAGCCCTAATCATTATCCTTCCACCACTGTGCTTCATGTATGTGTTTATGCTGACATGCTATAAAATGTGGCACTGTCTAACATCCAGGACTCTCATTTGTCTAAAAGACTGTCGTTCAAGAGTTCTTGATCCTCAGACGCAACGCCTCAAATCATTGCTGGGCCACCATGTTCTTTTTGGACAATCATCGTCTTTTTCAACAGACCATACTCGTTAAAGTCTCTGTTTAGTTTAACAATCATAAACAGAAGTCTTCAGTGAGTTTGTGAAGGGTTAACTGAGTCCTACAGAGTTTGTGACGTGCTTCTTTTAATTTATCGTTCTTGTTATTTTTCTGAGAGTTACACAGGCTGATCTCAGGGTGAACTTGCTGAAAATGTCAACTCTCATGACGATTAGAAACAGTTCTGTTGTCCCTTTGTGAACAAACATTCTTAAGTCTAGAATAATAAACTTTATGAACCATCCTAAACTTATGAGCAGCAGTGATCGTGTTTAAGATCAATGTTAATATCGTTGCTTCACAAAAACATAAGAGAATATCAAACCTGCTTAGGTTTGATATTGCCTCGTTTTATGGAGATGTGCAGATGATCAGCTAATAAATACATTTAATTCACAGTATACTGAGCTGCTGCTAACCCAACACTAATAATGAAAACATTAAGGGTGTATTCATTTCTTCATGATCCCTTTTTGTAGATTGCATTTCTTTCTAAGTAAGCAAATACAACTCCCCTAACACTGGTCCGGGAGAAAAGAACAGATGCAAATTTACCCAATTTTCAAATTACTGACAAAAAAATATATCAATGTATTTACCTTGAAGCTGTCAGTGTTGTTC